TATATATGTAAATATGCTAGTTTTAAACATTATATATTGCAATAATTTTAAATATACTGTACATTGTTAATTTTTCTTTGATTTTACTTTTTCTTACAGATAAAAAAGTTGTAAATATTCAAGATGCTGTTCAACCATGTCAAAGTAGTTCTGAAAAAGTGTTCAACTGTTATGAAAGTCACCCTAAAGAAATTCTGAAGTGTGATACTTTAGTAAAAGAATTTTTTAATTGCGTCGATCAGCGTCGTGCACATGTGATTGCAGCACGTTGTTAATGTGTTATAATATTGAATTATGAGTAGTTTAATTAAATATAATGTCATTTAATACCAAAATTTTAGTCTGAAAATAAATTATGTAATATAATCAAATTTTGGATATTTATTTTTACGATATTACTAACAATAAGTAAAATTTGTTTCATAGAAAAAGTGTAAACAATGCAGGGATATAATTAATAAAAATATTTATTAAAATTGAGAGGAGGAAGGCAAAAATTATAAACAAAATGTTATATATATATACACACAGTATGTCTGTTATGTACGTAATTATTTCTGTAAATATCAGAAATACCAAAAAATGTTTCAGACAAAAGTTGTAGGAAGTAAAAGGCGACATGCATGTTATGATAATAATTGTTTAACTTTGTGATGACTTTAAAGAGTCTTGTGAACGTCATATTCATATTTTCAAATAGAACCCGATATTTTTTATTACGCGCTGTTATAGGTAGTATTGAAACATATTCAAGATACTACAATAATATATATTTTGTAATAATATATATATATATATATTTTATAAAATATATTTTTTGCATCAGGCATTATTGAGCTATTAGCTTTCAAACTTTATGTCGCCCTTTACATCTTGTAACTTATATACGAAACATTTTTTAATAAATACTATTTATGGTCCAGAAATAATCACGTGTAGCCAGTTAAAACAGCCATACCGTATATAATTTTTAAAGTTACATTAAACTAAAATATATTTTAGATTATGTAAAATATAAAAGAATCTTAAAATTTTAGTTACAATATGCTGATTTGTTTTCTAAACAATAAGATTAACTAATACAAACTTTAATGCAAAATTATAAATGTTTTACAATTTTTATCAAATAATCCAAACTTAAGTTTCGTAAGAAAAATATATCTTACAATTTTATATACAAATTTAGAAATAGTAACATTTTTTCATTTTTGTACAATATTTAACAAGTCATTTCAACATAAGAAGATTATATTATGCATTACATGCTTGTTACTATTTATTACACATTTATTAAATAATACTGTTGAAACATTTATATATAACACGTTTATTTTTTAGTAAAAATTTACTTTAGTAATTTTATATCAATTTATTTTAGTATCAATAAGAAATATATATTAGAGAGCTTGAAAAAATAATTTGCTTTTGCTATCTTTTTGAAAAAACAAAATTTTTTAAAATTGCAAAATGCATGGATCGCTTCTGCTAATTTTGAAATATGTTGTAGAAAATGAAATATCAAACAACAATTGTTACAAAGCCATAGTTTCCAAGCACATGTAATATTTATTGGTATTACTCCATTGAATTCTGCCTATGTGTGTGTCGTAAACGCATTATGTGCGGCACAAGAGCGGCAATCGTCTAATAGTGTTTCTATAAGTAGATGGTAATGAGTAAATACAACGGGTTAAATAGAATTGGGAAAAAATAATCGTAGGCTTGCGTGGCCAGCCACTTCACGGCGTTTGATATGCTGATCTAACCCAATCTAACCTAATTAAGTAACATTAATTTAATTCAGCTTCGGTTATATTGAGGTGCGTGATTTAAAGGACACTCAATATTAGTTTTGAGTGTTCTAAGTTATCAATAAAAAACTTTTGGCATTATATATAAAAATTTATCTATACAGACAAGTGTACGAGTAGGCAACTTAATCAAAAGTTTATGTTTCGAAGATTACAATGGTTCGAAGTATTGCAAATTTAGTTTTAAAATTAATATAATTGTAAACAGTTGATATTTATAGAAGTAATAATAATTTATAATAATAAAAATACCATTTAAGAAATCTCATTTGCATTTTACAATTTAATTTTCACTTAATACAGTCATTATTATTTAGTTTCTTATTTTATGTTATTTTATGGTATGTTAATATTTTTATAATTTACTTAATTTTGTAAATTTTATATAGAATAAATTTGAGCTTTAGAATTTATAATACTTATTTTTTCTTCATAAGCAGCTACACAAGTTTTTGATAATAATTGCTCTTTCCTTCTTTTATAACAGTTCCATTGACAATATTCTGAAAATTTTCTAAATTTAATATGTAATTCCTTTTTGCCTCCATCAGGTCCTGCAATAAACTCACACTTGAGCTTCTCTTTTTTACCTCGTATACAACACTCTAAATACCTGTTGACATCAATATATATTTTAAATTTTAAATAAAAGGGAAGACATTAAAATTTATTGCTATCATGCAATTCATAATAAAAATTTTGATAATAGTAATTCTAAAGCTAAAAGTACCTAATAAGTACCTAAGTAATTTGTTGTAAATGAAAATTTATTATCAATTTTTATTATATGTAGTTGAAAAATTCTGAATTCTAAAATTAATTAATTAATTCTTAAAAGTTTCATAAATAAATCAATATATTATTACTTAATCATTAAAAGCATTTTTAATACTGATTTACTATTATGAAAATATGAACTATTTATAATTTATAATCTTAAAGATATGTTACTTAATTTTTAACTTTTAGTAAATTTCTTAATAAATAGGATATGAATATTTTTTATATTACACACATAATTTACTTTTACAATAGTATTTAATAAACATTAGAAGATTTTTCATATTTTCAGATTAACAAAGTGGAAAAATACAGTTTAAGACAATAATCAAGAAATCTTATATTTATCATTTTATTCAACAAAAAATAAATATTTTTATAGAGATTGAAAAATACAAAATAATTTTATATTGGCAATTATATATAATTACCTATAATCTGTTGTATAAAAATTATTTAGTTCCTCAAGTTTAATACCGCATTCTTGTCTCAAAATTCCAGTAATAAATACATCGTCAATCCAAAAAAAATTTTTAAATTTTTTACTTGTGTGAAATAATAATTGTGCAACTTTTAAACTGGTTATATAAAACCATCCTGAGAGGAAATCAGGATAAACATTTTCTGGAAAATCTTGTCTAGTAACAAACCATTTATTATTTGATATTCGTATCGGTTTCATCTCTTTTAAAACATATCCTGATATAGCATTTTCTTTTATTCTTCTTTCTTGTAAAAATTTTAGTATTTCAAAAATATCTAACACAGTATCATCATCACTTTTTATCAGAAAAGTAGCTTTACAATTGCTTGATGCCCATTTTAAACCCATTAAGTGTTTTAATGTAAGGTTTCTATAATTTTCTAAAAAATTACCTTGCAGTAAATCATTATATGTCTGAGATTCTTTTAAAATATATTTCCATATATTTTTCTCTTTTGGCATTCCCAACAAAAAAACTCTTGTAATATTCAAAGTTTCTAATATCTCACTTGGATATGCATGCCTTAATGCTGTTCTATATGAAGGATCATTTGCAGAGGAAGTAACAATCCAAACCACAAAATTTGAGTCACATTTTGGATTAATGATAAATTTTATAACTGACGAAATATTTTTATCTATATAACTTGCACTGTATAAGTATTTTAATTTTAGTTTTGTATTACTTATAACATTGATTTTTAATACAGTTAAAGATAAGATAAATACTGTACTAATGCAAAATATTAAAAAAATAAGTTTTAATCCCATGTTTTTAAAAATTATTCATTGCATTACACGTTTTGTTTAAATTAAATAAACATTTATAGATATTATTACCTTCATTTGATCATTAATAATATCATTTAATGATTATAATATTTATTCAATTACTATTTACTATTAATTTGTTTTTTGTTAGATTGTTTTTTATATATTAGCATAGTTTATGTAATATTCTATATTATCTTCTCTATTATAACAAAGTACATAATTTTTGTTTATATTTTATATATATATCTTCTTATAATAATTGACAAACTAAAATATAAATCATATACCTTTCCTTAATTATAACAATTAAAAGTAAGATATAAAATTATATATGTGTAATTTTATGACTATCTACTTACATTATACATACGTCAGTTTTATTAGCTTTTCTTGTTTGAATTATGGCACCTATTTTATACGTTTAAGTTCACAAAATTTTGTATATAAAAATATATTTCAAAATGTAATTAATAATATATCTTTGAAGAATAGAAATAGTATTTCTAACATTTTGCTTCTATGTACATTATATTACATATTTTGAAATTTTATTAATGCATAGTCACCTATATATGTATTACATAACCTTATTTTTGTCACTTACATATGTCAGAACTTTATAACATTCCTGATTTATATTTCTTACTCATGCTAAAATATAGCATTTTTTGAAAAATTCGAAAAAAATAAATTGATTTACGGTAAAGTCACTAAAATAAGCCTTTACCGTTAAAATTAACAAAATTATAATTAAACTGGCAAAGTATTTCTAATACTTTACCCCCATTTAAAATGTTCTTGTTTAGAAGATGTGATTTGTAAGATCTCTTTTGACCAAGGATCAGCAGCATCAAGACATTAAATGCATACTTCCTCTCCATTCACCCTTACACTATCATCATTTAAATTTAAATATTCTTTTTCTTGTAGTTTTAAACGTGTTTTTCTCAAAAACACATTTTCCGAATTAGTTTTTATAATATCCCAAGTACTACAGAATTAGTATCATTCAAATTTGGTATAACTTTCAGTTCATGTGTCGCTATAGTCCACATTACAATAAAATAAAAATCAATATTTTTATTTTAACTCATCATGCTTAAGAAAACACACACAAAAAATCAATATTTCAACTTAAGAATGCAACCATTTTATTCATTCTTTTCAGTACCCACTATAGCTAAAGACATCTTAATACATACCTATATGTAATATACTCAGATAATAATAATTAATGCAATATAATGAAAATAAAAAAGTATCACAATTACATTCCTATTTAGATAAAAATCAATATTCATTTTACTAAAAAAAGCTACATATTTTCAGAAACTGTAAAAATACAAAGTGTGAAATAAGTCGCTTTGACCCTTCTAGAAGTCCTAGTGAAAAATCTTCTTTATTTTTTAAATTTAGTCAAGCAGAATAGCTGTCATCATGAAAACCATAAGAACACTTTTTTGTGTGCAGGTATGCATTGCTGCTTTGTAAAAAATTCCCAAAAAGGCCTAAAAACCCTTTATCATGGAATATTTTCCTAGTATGACTTTCAATATGATGTCTCCAATATTTATGACTTTATTAATCTATAATTTAATACAGTTTTAATTCATTTTAATAGAGTACATGTATACATGATGATATAGCTCATTAGTAAGTAATCATAAAATGAATTCACTCATAATTACTTATTTGAGATATGCTACTGATTTACTTTTATTTGGTATTAACAACATTATCCTTAAATCTCATATTATTGTTATGGTTCTTTAATAAAACTTTTTTAGATCTGTATTTATATATTTTTTCTATTTCTATATAAATAAATAAACAAAGCTATAGAACCATAAACAATTATTATTTAATTGTTTCACTTAAGAATAATCTCTGTAAAATACATTCTGCAATAAAAAAGCATGCTAGGTCTTACTATTTTCAAGAAGGAAGTAAAAAAACAGACATAAATAGATGAAAATTCTGTGTCTTTTGAAATGTATTTAATAGTTTATTGTAATTCATAAATTATGTATTTGACAGTTCATTGTTATTCATAAATTACATTCTTAATATATTTCATACAAAATATGATAATTTTAATGTGTAAAAAATATTAAATTTTAATCCATAATCTTAAATCTATTAAATTTAAGATTGTAGATATCCCCTGAAAAAATATATATATATTAATAATGTAAATATTTAATATTACTTTATGATATCTTAAAAGTAATTATTCTAAAATACATTTTGTAACCAGTTGTAAAAATATTTAATTTTATGCTCAATGAATATATATTAATATATTTATATACTTTTAATAAAGTTATTTTTATAATAAAACTTATTTTGTTATAAATTACAGTTTATAACGTATAAAAATCTTACGGCAATTTCATCCTCATAAAAATCCAACATGTAATAAATGATACAACAACACTAATAAATCCAACACATATTAAAAGAATTCTATTAAGCTTAGGTGTTGATGGACTATGTGTTTGATCTAACACTATAAAACCAATTCCCCCTAAGGTAAAAAGGAAACTAGATGCTAGTCCTTCCATAATATATTGCCCATTTACACGATATGGCATAAATGCCACCTATAAAAGATAAATACATATTTATTAGAAAAATATTAAACATTAATATAAAATTATTTTCACTTCATGTACTTACAGGTCTTGTATGACCATGTTCATCTGTTGTTGAGCCTACACTAGGTGGTTCCACAATTACGTCATATATTATACCTTTAAAAAAGTTATCAACGAAATATATACAATATTTACCTTTATTTCATTGATAAAATTTATAAAAAATTGATAGTCTATGTTATTCTAACCTCCAGTTACTAGAAAATATGACAAAAGTATAAATGAGAAAACTACCATAGCACTAGGTTTCACAAACCATGATGGTTTTTTTAATTTCAAGTTAGGTACTTCTAATGCAAGAAAAGGTAAACGATATATATATTCCATATTTAAAAAGAAATTGAAATATCATATACACAAGAGTACTTCTACGTTGCTTTTACAAAACAATAAATTTCCACGTTTGCTATAACATTTAGTAGATGGCAGTTGTGACAACATTTATGACTATATGGGTAGACGTGAAAAGTTACTGATTTATGTAAATTTTTAAATAATGATAAATTTCTATACAGTAGAATTTTTGTTAGTGATGAAATAATTATGTACTGATGTAGATTACAACATTATGAAATATAAAAACATAGCTACTTTTAATTATTCTAAAATATATACATAAAAATGTTCCAGTAAATATTTTGGTTATAACATGGAATTAATTTGGCCAAAAACAAATCAAACATTGATGCCAGAATCTACCAACTCATACATTGGTACAAACTTTAATATATGTTTGCTATTAATATGTTAACATGACTTAATAACCAGATCCTGTATCAAATTTAGTAACATTTTGATATTGAAATTTGGCCTAAGCAAAAATCTAGCAATGACAAATATTGCTAATATAATGTTGAAAATAAAATCTTCAATTTTTAAAAGTTTTCTTTTAAACAAAAAATTCTTTTTAATTATAAATTTGTTTAAATTACACAAAATGTTTTTATAATTTAATATAATTAATTTTTATATGATATTACATTTTCAATATTTTAATATAAGAGATATCTCTACTATTACTAGATTTCCAAAACGCTCAGTACAAGTTTGTTACCAAAATGTTACCAAATTTGATGCAGGATTTGGTTATTAAGTTATGTCATAGCTGACTCTAGTATGAACGATGTTGAAGGTAAAATCCCAACAGTGCGCGAAAGTCCAATTTCGATAATATAACTCAGCTTTCTTTCAACTTCTTCTATTTACTATCGGTCATTTATCTACACTTTCCCTGTACCGACTCCTTAGTTCCCCGCCTATTTTTCAAATGTTTATATTATTATAGTAATCTCAAGTTTCTGAAGCATATGAAACATGAATAAGTGAAATAATGCACGTATGTGTTATTTATATTAACTCTGTAAATCTGTATTTTTGTGTTTAATAACACATTTATTTAATATGATCTATACATTTGATATATTTCAAGTCAGTATTAATATTATAATAGTATTATACATCAATTTTTGTAATTACAAAATCATATTTATTGTATATAAAGCTTTTGGATATTTTATTTTACACATAAAATGTCCTTTTAAAAAATTTCGTGCATTTATTAGTTAATAATATCATGGAATTGTTACGTTCTCAATTGCAAGGGAAATTATGGTACTTGAAAAGATAAGCTAATAATTATATTTCTACATTCTTATTCTTCAAAGGTGAAAAATTGTGGAAGAAATAAATCCCAATAAAATATTCTGCTGCCTGTAGATGCCGATATTCAATGTACGAAGATATTTTATTTGTATTTTATATATTGAAATATTCAAAATTTACAGTAAATACAATACGCTCATAAATGATATTAATTTGAAATCTCAGTTTTTGCAATCTAAAAATCATTAATATACATAACATATATTTATAAACATACATAAGTACGTGTATGAAAATATCTATTTTTATTTACAATTTACAATTATAATATTATCCTTTAAAACCTTTTGTTTTGTAATTAATTACATAATTTTTACATTCAATTACTAATTCTCCTAATCTCTTTTGTATATGTTCACTTAACCTCTTTGTAATAATTTTGCTTATTCAGGTTTCTGTTAACCCGAAATATACATACATATATGCATATATAACTATCATTCAAGAACTTGGAATTAATATTTTAATATTCATGACTCGGAAAGAAAAAAAGATTGATGTAATTTTTATTTATTTTATTATGTATTTTTATTTATTATTGATTAATTGATATTTTATTGCTTTTTTGGGGAATTGATATATTTCAAGTTATTTTGCGGATTACGGGATTTTCTTCTTTAAAATTATTTTTTTTTTCTAAAGTTCACAGGGTATACTATGTAAATATTAGTGTTTTACTTTTACTTATGTATGATATTTATGTATTATCCATATATAATTAATAAAAAATAGTATGTTTAGTATAATTTTTTATAAAAGAAAAGTTAATTATAATTTTATATAGAAGGCTTCATTATTACGAATTGAACTTCTAATTTTCACATGAGCAGTGTTGCCACGTTATTCAGTATAGTTATAAATATGGTTTTGTAGTCAAGTTTAAAGAAATATGGTGCCAAATTGATATTGTAACTATATTATTTACTGGAATAGTTACACATTAATTGATTCGTATAATCGATCAAAAATAAAAATAAAATATCTTACTTTTTTAAATATTATCTTTCTCTAGTACTTTTTTTTATATAGTATAATTTTAATTTAATTTTATTTATAAAGAAAGTTACATAAATTAAATAGAAAAATTATAAGTAACTTTTTCATCTATTTCTGTATACACGTGGTGACACAATTAAAAATGGATGGCAAACTTATATTTTCTAACCTAAATGAAATCGAATAAAGTAGTGCTTTTGATAAGTTCAAACTACTAATCTCATGGATTTAATAAATATTCACGAATATTTTATTTGTAAGATATACGAATACAGTTTGAATATATTCATATACGTTGTGACTTGAAATCGTAGTTATTCTAATTTATAAATGTATAGTGTGAAGTGTAAAGTGTTTAATTAATTTTAAGTAGTAACAAATGATAATCATGCAAGAAAATACACGTGTAGCACCGCGGGTTTTTACTGCAATACAAAATGTAGACATACCAGTACTGGCGGTATGTTCTCACAAAGAAATACGACCAATTTTACCATGTTTAGTTCGTATGAGTCTTATATCTCCATTAGATGTAACGAAAGAATGTGTAGAACAAAGAAAACAGGTCTTGACAATTTTATCTGGAATTGAATCAGTAAATTCGATAATTGCACTACTTTCAATTGATTTTCACGCATTAGAAACGGATGTTCGAAAAGAACAACAATTAAGGTTAGTTGTATGTTAACATTAGTCTTTCATTAGTTAATATTATTTTATCGATCAATATATTGTAAATTATGTCAAGTATACGTACAAAAAAATGTAACTATTTTTTTCTTTAGGCAAAAGATGGGTAGTTTACAAAGAGATAGTGTACTTGCTCAGTCATTACAAAGTGGTCTTGCTTTGGAATTTGAACGCAGTGAATCTACTAGAAGAATAAGACTAGTCTTGTGTGAATTATTATACATAGCTTCTCAAGTACAAGAGCAACAAAAAAATCAGGAATTTCAAATTAAACAATCCGATTTGTTTGATAATGCAGTCTATATGGAAGAGATTAGTTATGTAATTTGTGTTGCTTTATCAGAGTTACCAACAGTGTTATCAATATTGGATATTGCAGAAACATTATTACATGTTAAATATGGTCCAGAAATAATTTGTTGGATAGTTGCTAATATCCCTGATAGCTTTTTTGAAGTTTGTGCACATTTGATAGCAAATGGGGAAAGGCAAGAAGAATCAGCATTAGGTAGAATTAGAACAATGGCTTTAACAATGCTGTGTCAAATGAATCCAAGTCAAGCATTGGCAGTGCGAGCTAAGTGTGTAGAACTTTGTAGAATGCCTGCTTTAGCAATTACATTAAGTTTGGAACATGAAAATATAAATAACACATTAGCAGAAAGTGATATAGTTGCCTTTGTGTCAGGATTATTACTTGGTAGTGATCAGCAAGTAAGAACATGGATAGCTATGTTCATTAGAAATGGTCAAAAACGTAAATGGGAATCCCATACAGCATTACAATCTTTAAGAGAAGAACTACTTAAACGATTGCAAGCAATAACTTCCCAAAATGCAGGTCAATTACCAGAAAGTCAAGTTGTTCAAGCTAGTGCTTTATTACGTCTTTATTGTGCATTAAGAGGTATTGGAGGTATTAAATTTCAAGATGATGAAGTAGCAATGATAGTACAATTATTAACATCTCATCCTCCTCCATCGCCAGCTGGTGTGAGATTTGTCTCATTAGGTCTTTGTATGCTTATTGCATGTTCTTCATTAATTGGTCATCATAATCTTGAAAAGCGAAGTATAGAATGGGTACAGTGGCTTGTACGTGAAGAAGCTTATTTCGAAAGTGCTAGTGGTGTCACAGCAAGTTTTGGAGAAATGTTACTTTTAATGGCAATACACTTTCATAGCAATCAACTATCAGCTATTTGTGAACTCGTGTGTGCAACTTTAGGTATGAAAATACCAATTAGACCAAACAATTTGACTAGAATGAAGCAAATTTTTATGCAAGAGATATTCACTGAACAGGTTGTCACTTCTCATGCTGTAAAGGTACCAGTAACAGCCAATTTAAATGCAAATATTCCAGGATTTTTACCTGTACATTGTATCCACCAGTTGTTAAAGTCAAGAGCATTTGCTAAACATCGAGTGCCAATAAAAAATTGGATTTACAAACAAATTTGCAACAGCGTACCACCATTGCATCCAGTTCTTCCAGCTTTAGTTGAAGTATATGTCAATTCAATTTTAGTCACAAATAATAAAACCTCGGAACATACAAACAAACCAATTACTGAAGATGAAATTAGAAGAGTATTTCAAAATAGTGTTTTTGGTGCAAATTTTGATTTTAAGAAGAATATTAATAGTGTCCCTCAAACTGAAATAGATAATATGGACATTGATATTCCAAAACCTTCTCTTACATCACAATTATTATTGTTATATTATTTATTACTATATGAAGATGTCAGATTATCTCATATGCATACTTTTATGTCGCAAGATAGAAAAGTTAAATCATATTCAACTGAATTTTTGTCTGAATTGCCAATAAAGTATTTACTTCAATTGGTTCAAAGAGATCAAATGAATTATGCCGGCTTATTTTCTCCTCTTCTCAGATTATTAGCAACACATTTTCCTCACCTTTCATTGGTAGATGATTGGCTTGATAATGAAATGATCAATATAGATTCTACAGTAACAAATTATGAGGATGTAAAAATTACAGATATT